TATAAAACAATAAATAATGGAATGCATCAAATTAAAGACTAAAATGCAACAGATTATAAATAGGCTATATAGAAAAAATTAAATAATAAATATGAATATTTCGAATTTAATAAATAAGTAAAAAAAAAACCCATCACCTGATGGTTAAAAATAATTTTTTCATGCACCACATTTATCATTTTAATAAAATAAAACATCTTAATCATTAGAATTTGCACTCCTTTTGTGACACCAAAAAAACAGAAACTGGTATAACATTATATGCAGGAAGAACTTGATCCTAACAATCCATAATATGTCAGAACTTGATCCTAACAATAAAAGACGAAGCAACATGTAAAAGTGACCATTTTAAGCAGATTTCTGGAGGTTATATGCGAAATACCTGTTGTTCTAATCCTTCAGCAACATCCTCAAACAAATCTTTTGGGGTTGAACCAGATATATTGGCACAGTCCTATCAAAGAATGACATGACATATCAACTGAAAAGGTAAAAGAATGATGTGATATATCAACGTCAATTCCCATAAGAAAAATATATGCCAATTAAAATTATGTCTTCCATTGCAAAAATTTCGCAACCTTAAAGGAAAAACAAAGGGAAAATGAATACAATCAATGCATGAACTTGTAGTTTACCGGTTCATAACGTAAAAGAATAAGCAAATTATGTAGTACATCCATGTTTCAAGATAGCATTTGGCTGTGCCAGTTCTATTAATCAGTTCAAGACTGTGCTCTTTAAATTGACCTAATATAACAATAAATTTTCAGTTTAATCTGGGTTGTAAACTGCATCAGCCAAATGATTTTCTTAGGAAGTAAAAAGCAAAGTGTATAAAATAAAATTCATAAGTTCATTTCAGAAGATGGCTGACAGGAAAGGGAAAAAAAAGAAGAAGTGATAGGATAAATCATAAATTCTAACCGTTAATTCCAGGTAGTGGACAAGAACAATGTGGGAGAAGTCCCTGCAATAGTGGTAATTTATGTCAGAAGAGGAGAAAGCCTGAAAAAATCAATCTAAAATTTGCAATCACCAAATTAACACAGTCCAACCAGACAATAAGCTAGGGAACCTCATGTAATACCAAGGTAGTATAGTTTTTTATTCTTTAACTAATGTATTATTATTTAATATCAAAGATAATTCCTTAAAAATCTAAGTTGATTAATAAGGATGTTTAGGGCTTTATTTGGTTATCTGATGAAAGATGGGAGCTAATTATATCTTATAAAAAGATGCAAAATTCTAATTTGACCAACAATATGTCAAAATCTGGAATATAATTTTCAATAAAAAGAAACACTAAATTTTACTATAAGCATATAATCCATCATTTAAAAATGAAAGCAATAATAAAAAGGAGGAATCATGCTTTTTTTGTATTAAATAATGCATCATATAAGAGGTCCCAAGTCCAAATTTAAATTATTTCTCTAATCCATGTAAATAAAAGCTGTTTTCTCAAATTTTATCCATGGCATGCAAATTTACACAAACACTATCCAATAAAAAATTTGGCAGACTCATTCACATAAAAAATGACACTTACTTTTCGAGCATTGAATAACGTCTTTGAAAATTTTTATTGGAGTCTACCTCTCCAAAGTTGAGTAGCTGGAGCATACCCAAATCTTTCTTGGGTTAAGATTGGTCTTTTTGATCAATGCCCTGCAACCAGAAACCACCATTAACACAAAGAAAGAACAGAAAAAGGGACTAAAATTAAAAAAGAGACTATTGAATAGTTATTTCAAAAATTTGGGACTATGCAATTATTTTTTTGCCTATGTAATTTTAGATTACTATTGATTTGATTTTTATTTGGGAGTCTTAGCATATTTATATTACGAATCTAAGCTCTAGTCTACTTAGGAGACTTAGGAATATCTGTTTATGCTATAAAGTCTTTCATTATTTAGCTATTTGATAATATTCAGATATATTCAACAAGAGTTTTCTCTTGAGAATGTGTGAAGCAATCTTGATTGCGTGATGCATTCAACCTTAAATGTGATGATGAAGGAAGTTCAATCTCTCTGCTATGCCTAAAAAAGACCCAGGTGTGACTCTAGGCTTGTTCTATCTTTCTCTTTTCATTATCCTTTCTAGACCCTTGCACCCCCAAACCAGTCCTTTAAGCATAATCTGACCCGCATCAGGAATATATCAAATTATATGTTTCTAAGAACCTATGAGTGTAAATAAGACAATCAATAAGGATAAATGATAAATTTCAAAAATAAAATCATTTTAGAAACTCACCACTTCAAATTCCATTAAACCCTGTCCTTACCGTGGTCCCCAATAGTGCTCAGATGATATGATGACACAAAACCAAAGAAAAATTATTGATATTCACCCCTCTATTAGGATTTTAGAAAAAATAGTCATCATATTGAAACAGCAAACAACAGTCAAAAACATTTTAACACAACAAAGATAATAAGAACACTTGAAAACCTATGATTACAAACAAACAAAGGCGTACAAATGAATTGCTAAGAACTGATAGTGATACAATAATTTAAACAAGAATGGATGAGCACATACAATTTCTGTGGCATCTACTCGAGTTCCAATTATCTTCAGGCGAACTTCAATATCCTTCTGAATCTTAACCTGGAAGAAGCATAAGTGAGAGACTAAAGGAACACATCTGTGCAAAAGAAAACTAACAATTACTTGTTTTTGAAAGAATAAGCTAAACCATACCAATCCATCTGAAGTAGCATAATTAGGAATATCTCCATATTGAAACTCCATATCATCCGGAATCAACTACCAAAGTAAAAACCATTATCAATAGAGATGCAAAAGACATGTATAGCATAATCAGTTAATCACAGGTCAAGGACATAAAGTATGAGGAATTAAAGACGCCCAATTTTGTAATCCACCCAGCAAAAAACGAATTCTGGAACATTTTCTACAGAGATTGGCCCAACCCTAAAGAATTATGTTTAATTTATGTAATATGTTTCTTCTGAGTAACATGCTGTTTTGTTACATTAGATAAAGAACTTATTTAATTTATCAAATTTATGTTTCTTTGTAGTTTGTATTACTGTCTTGCTTTTAATGTAGCTTGTTAAGTGTATGCAAGTGGAGTTCCTAAGTTCCTCATTAGTAAGCTTCATCACACATCAATGGCTAAGTGGCAAGAAGTAAAGCATTTCAACCCAAAAAAAAAAAAGAAAGAAAGAAAGAAAAGGAAACAAAACATGTTAGCTCTTCCATGTCAATTGCTAAATGCAGTAGTTAATTTCAATCAAAGGAGTTCTATTTTTCTTGTGGGACATAGAAAAGCTCGATGAAAACAATAATTGCTTAGACCCTGCAAATTTCATCAAGGTACAGAAAATTGAAGTTTTCATCAACAATAGCCACAATGTAAGCAATGAACAAAAATGAAAATGCAAAACTACCAACCAAATTTACATCTCACAGAGGACATAGATTTGAATGGAAAAATGAAAATGCTTGTTACAAGATGAATATAGTGATCCTCTTGGAGCAGAAACCTTATTAAAAAGGGCAAAAATACTTACATGGTTTGAAACAAAAATTTGAACAGGTCCAGCTTCTGCAAAGAATCCCATCTGTAGGAATCCCAAATGCAATTATCAGTAAAACAATAGAAATCCATGGTTCATAAGATAATCTTATCATCAAGTCAGGAGAGTAGCAAACAGAAAACAGTTACCTTGTTGACCATAGTCACAACAGCTTCTAAGATCTCACCTTTAAATAGTCACAACGGCCATGAGAGGGGTTCGGCAGCAATGAAGGAAAGAAGATTATGAAGATCGACGCCATGATTTGTTAGATCCAGAATGCTCGATGGCCATGGCTTTGGTGAGGAAGGAGATTCGGCAACAATGAGAAAGATAGGGTAATGGCTTTGGTGAGGAAGCGGTTCGGCAGTAATGAAGGAGAGAAGATGATGAAGATTGACGCTTCATGATTTGTTAGATCCGGAATGCTCGACGGCCATGGCTTTGGTGAGGAAAGAGATTCGGCAGCAATGAGGAAGGGAGGGTCATGGCTTCAGTGAGGAAGGGGTTCGGCAGCAATGAAGGAGAGAAGATGATGAAGATCGACGACGGCCATGGTTGTGGTGAGGAAGGAGATTCGGCAGCAATGAGGAAGATAGGGTTTCAGTTTGTGGTGGAGAAGAGGAAAAGATGAGCTTTAGACTTTTTCGTAAAAAATGGTGCAGGTTATTTTTAGTTAATAAAAATAAAAAGGGAAATAAATAAGAAAAACATAATAATTTTTGGAAAAAAGGTATTTTTAAACTGGTTTCAATCCAGTTCAGGGTTCAAAAGATAAAATTTATATATAATTTATAAGTGTGAATAAATGTGAACATACAGTGTGAACATAAAAGAGTTTTTTTGGTTTTGCTTTAATATATTTTTAGATAATTTTTTGGCCAAAGTCCCTATTTGCACCTTCAACTTATGTCATTTTCGCGGTCAACACCCTATCGAATTTTTTCTCCTTATTTGCACCCTCAACTTTTTAAAATCCGTAAAAAACCTAATATTTTAACGGACCGTGACGATACCGTTAATAACTATTAAAATTTGTAATATGTGGCGTCAAATAGTAACATGAACGTTATGTCACCTTATTAATCTAATGTGGACTTTTTTTTTATGATGTGGCATAATTAAATCATAATTAATTTTAATTTCTTCATTTTCTTCTTTCTCGGCATCATCTTTACCATCTTCCTCGAACCCAGGACGTTACGTCACATCTATTAATCCAATGTGGGTTTTTTTTTTTTTGTTTATAATGTGTTATAATTAAATCATAATTAATTTTAATTTCTTCATTTTCTTCTTTCCCGACATCATCTTCACCATCC